GCATTGTTACGTGTTGAGTAATTTAAATTTGACCTCATTTTTATTGATTGTTGTATACTTTTGGTAGGTTAGTGTATCTGTACAGAGCCTAATCTGATTACGAGAGAATGTTAGTAACAGTATCGAACTTAGACAAACTTGATATTAACAACTCCGCAATTACCTGAATTACAAACCGAGGTACTGTACATCTTCAATAGAAAGGTTGACAAGCTTCCCCAAAACATCCAAGTTTTCGTTTCCTCTGAATCCAGACGAGAATAGTGTGAACGTCGACGCATAATTGGAAAACACGAATTCGTTGCATTTTCTTGGACATGGTGCAGAATGCAAGAACGCTGTTATATGTAACTGGGATTACAAATGCAACCAACAAATGGTTTATTCAGGAATTGATTGAAATCGATATTTGCAATGCTAACCTTGGTGCGAATAAGTGTGGAACAACTCGACTATTCTTGTATACCCTGAAGTATAATAGCCAATCTCAATATTACAAGTTTCTTCCCCTACAAAACAATTGTAAACAATTAACATGACGATAGACGCCCCAAAAATCTACTGAGATTTTTACCTCGCTATTCGCCCACAAAATTGGCTGAAATTAAATAATACACGCGTTAATAACCGAAAGTCGAAATCGACTTACTATACTCACGCGTCACTGAGAACGCATAAGTTTTGTCCAACATAGAGATATTACCGTAATAATGAACAGCTATGCAAAGTTTGGCCCTAATCTTTGGGACAATTATCTAGAGGCAGATTATACGAGTCAGTTCTTATTTGGCGAAACCAGATTCCACGTCTTCCTATACACTTCGTTAACTGTCCATACAGAAAATCAAATGTTGATTCACAATTTCATATCCCCTTCGTCAATGAAATCATCGAACTGTCCACATACCCATTGCATCTCAATGGTAGGTTGATTCGAGGACGTGAGTTAGTAAAATATAACATTGTGTTGATAATTCATATCATCCTGTCCAGAAAACAGTTTTCGTCGAGCAAAAAATAATAAAAAAGAAAAAGGTAACGACATTCAGATAGTAAGAATTATCTCGGTGGTACAATGCCCTGCGCTCAGACTGGTTGCCAAGGGGTCCGGTTCATTTCATCGACAATCATTTCGCCGACAGTACGTTTCACCGACATAAATTTCATCGAAAACCAATGATAAGTGCGATAAACAATGTGTCACGTGAAATGACTGTCGGTGAAGTGTACTGTCGATGAAATGCCTCCCGTTGCCAAGTGTAACGACAATTAATGAATTTAGCCGACCAGCTTTTAGCCCCATTTTCAAAATATGAGCACCAAAATTACAGTTTGCATTAAAGATGACAAAAACTATCAGCAATCAGTCTGCAGTTATTTTAATGATCAAGTCTGTCACACGCTGCTTTTAATTAATTCACATCAAACAGAGAGAAGAATCAATAAATCAAATCTTTATGCTGGTCATAAATCGTTTTGAAATTTGAATGAAACATTTCTTTGATCTGGCTCTCAGCATCGGCCTATCACCTGAGACAAAACCGAAGAAGGCCCCCAGATGAGAAGCTTCAACGAATAATAGTATTTATTGACCACATAACTCCCTTCCAAATATACATTTAAGCATGATTTCCACAGCTGATTGTACCCCGCTCAGTTCTACTAGGCTATGAAAATTTGATGGAATCTGGTCTATTAAATTTTTCTCATCCAGCAAATGCCCTATCCATATAACATACATATTAATATCGATCCACATAGAGAATTTCATAGCAATTAACCTTTAAGCATTACTTAAACTTACACTGCTTTGGCATCCTTGGATACAATTGTACCTCAGGAAATATCTCCCCTTTGTCTGATACTTTGTTCTTCCAGAGAAATACTACATCGGGATGTTTGGGACTACATACATATACAGACATCAGATCACAAATGTTGTTAACTTTCGACAATAACAATAGTTTGAATAATACCTATTTACGGTGAATCGTAATAAATGGCGTATTTCGCTGCCCACTCCCTCGGTCACGTCCTCGGTCACGTCAGAAGTTCCCTCGATCAAGTCAGAAGTTCCCTCAATCACGTCCTCGATCATGTCCTCGGTCACGTCAAAAGTTCCCTCGATTATGTCCCCGGTCACGTCAGAAGTTCCCTCAACCAAGTCAAAAGTTCTCTCAATCACGTCCTCGATCATGTCCTCGGTCACGTCAGAAGTTCCTTCGATCAAGTCAGAAGTTCCCTCGATCACGTCCTCGACCATGTCCTCGGTCACGTCAGAAGTTCCTTCGATCAAGTCGGAAGTTCCCTCGATCACGTCCTTGACCATGTCCTCGGTCACGTCAGAAGTTCCTCCGATCAAGTCAGAAGTTCCCTCGATCACGTCAGAAGTTCCTTTCAAGTCAGAAGTTCCCTCGATCACGTCAGAGTCATCGTCACCGTACGTGGTCAGACCAGGGAATTTTCTCTTTAGAGCGTCAAACAGCATAGTGCGCTGATGATTCAATTTCGCGTATTGAACAAAGCCCTTAAAGAACCCAGGGAGGTTACATTCGTTCTCAACACTATGGATAAGAATATAGATCTTTGTATAAATGATTCTATTGGGAAATGGTATCCACACATTCTTTCTATCATATCCATCGAGAAACCATTCTATAGAAACTGACCTTTCTACAAACTCTGCTATTTCAGTTTTTATGCTTTCTCCGATGTTTATCCTCAGCGTTTGAACCCTTAGCTCGGTTTCGTCTACATCAAAGTCAACCGAAAAATATAGCCCGTACGAGTTACCTGAAAGCATATAGTGCCTGATGTGGCCTATATACACAGCGGGATCGCAAAAATGTGAACAACAATATTATATGTAGAGACATGCGCGTTATCAATCAACAGACAATAAACTTATTATTACGTACGTCCACCAGTGGCGGATACCAATCGGTTGGTAGCCTTGGAGAACTGTATCTTGGTAAAGCTGGACAACCTTCTAATCTGTAAACTCAAATTTGTTAATTAGAAACATCCAATGAATTCTTAGTTGTCAAGTAAATATTATATTACATCATCATCGGTCACTGGAATTTCATATTTACTGAGTAAAAGCCTGGAATAGGATGTCCTAAGCTCTTCTTTAGTTTTTAGCTTTATCGATGATCTTAAGGAGTGATCATTTATTCGTAACAACTGTTCTCTATAGAGGTCCGTACGTTAAGGATAGAATGAATATCACTACTCGACTCGGTGAAATACATTAAAACCTAAGATACATGATGTCATTTATTGGGCTAACGCGTTCTCGTTCCTTTCTTCTCTCGTCGATTTCAGTTTGCAATTCAACAATCTCTGATTCCAAGGCTTTTATTTGAGCTAATACGCGTGACCTTTTCTCTTGGTCTTGGTTGTCCCGGTTCACTGGGCTGGTATTCGATCTCTGCTGCTCGGATTCGCGTCTGTGGGAGGACATTTTTTCTATATCGAAGAACACGTAATAGTAACGCGCAAGCACAAACAAAAAGAGACTAAATAGGCTGATTACATCTTATCACGTGATGTATGAATTAGGTTAATTCAAATTTGGATTTATGGTATCAATTACATTAGTATTAGTAACATAAAACTCGGCAGAACCAGACAGTGTTCTGAAATGCATAATAATAACATCAACGAAAACATACAAGCAATTACACATGGTAGGTAGAGCAACAATGTATCGTACATTATTTCCTATGTTACTTATCAGAATATATTTCTCTTATTAGCATTTTATCCGTACTTTTATGTTAGAAATCGCACGCGTCGCAAATGAATTCGGAGGCTACTCCGATTTAGTTAGAGAATTGGAACGAGATCACAATGTGAAGGTGTTCTTTGGTTAGTAGCAAGTCCATTACTTTACCTCTCTATCCGCTTAACCCGCAGCTGGATGTTACTTCAACCTCCGTAAGCAGACTTATCCAACTTTTTGTGTCTGTGAAAAAACTGTTTGTGTGCTCGATGAACAAAAAGTTGTATTTTTACTTAAATGCTATCTATCACTAATACTAAGCAACACACTGGTCACCACCATTCAGGTTGATTGTATAAAGGGGAGGAATATTTATTCGGTTATCGACCTTGTAATCGAAAGTGTCAGTTACAAGGTGGTAAGGGACGTGAAGGTATGGAAGATTAGATTGGTGCGGTATAAAACGAGCATATTAATATGCGCTTAGAAGGCACGGATCAGGCAAGACTGTGTACTTAATTTGCTTATGTTGTTAAAGGAATGACTGAAGCGCCATGGACATAAATTCGGGTTTACCTTCTCATCCACTGCATGATCTGAGAAGAATGATGGGAATCGAAAATAGGGATTTAGGAATTAGCTGCGTAAGTCCAAGGCCAATTCCGGCCATATTAGAACTAAGACACAGAAAACTTCACATATAAGTAAATAATCCTACACTTGACCCATCTGGTCAACTCAAATGTTATTCTCATAGTAACTATCGTTTTATTCTATTACTTGTAGAAGCTGTCGAAACTATTAAGAGACTGTGAAAAGACCCACATACAATCTGATCTACGATAAGACGCATGCAGTTACCTGTTTATGGAAGACAATTGAAACACACTATGCTCTGGCCGCCACAAAAAGTATCAAGGAACCGACTTTCCAATATAATATAATCAACAATGCTTCGTGGATCGTGGATTGTTGGTATTCTGTCATGGTGCAATCGAAATAGAAGATAGTGGATTATATATAATTTAATTTATCTCTAATAGGACCACTTCTGCATAATTTTGTAGGTCTCCGTGGTACTGTTGTATTGGTATGGAGGCATAGGAGAGAATGCGATGTTATGATGTCTCCTTCACTATTACTCCCACCACTCCTTCATTCTCCCGCTACCTTCATCTCCCTTCACCTGTCACTCCTTAATGAATTAGCATCACCGAACCGAAAGGTTTATCCGACTTATTGTCAACAAATCATATATCGGCATGTCTTCATACGACATCCTCCACCCTCCGCACTTTCTGGAACTCTGGAAACTTGCTACTGTCGGTAGTAAAGGTCGGGTTGAACGTGCGGGAAGAATTTGAAAGGGTAATTATTGTGACGGCTGATGCTGAAATCGGCTGATGCTTTATTTGGTTATATATCACTATCTCTTACAATTCTCTCCTCGTCTGTATGGAAGCAGCTAGTCGACGTTCTTGTTAGGCCTTGTTGTCAAAAGGTACTAAGGAGACAGTACGAAAATTGAATCTTCTCTGCTTTCTAATACACAACCACAGACGAGGAAGATCGAACAGCACGGATGAAGCATTCTATATGAAGTTCCTTCTAACTTTACAGTCAGATGTGTTAATCCATGTGGCAGCCATTGGAAACGATTCGAAAGGGATCGCAGTTATATTCTACGGATGTCAGTCGTCAATCGGCCCTAGCCTGCTCATTGGACAACCCTACCCAACCCAAACGCGCCGCTCGGCCATTTCAGGTGTGGCTCATCGAAACAGCAAAATTTACCCATCACCAGAGAACGTTTGTACACGATTAGCCTCCGACGCAACAAGCCCTTCCATCCCTGGTCAATCGGAAACATCTTTATCTTATCTGCCTTATGGAATGTACTAATAACGTTCCGATTCTCAATAATGACGAAGGCTTCGTCTTACCCTTACACAAAGAGATACGGAGACTAATTAGACAGTGGGATAATACAGGAGCGGGAGAAGGTATGGAGAAAAAAAGGCTAGTACTCAGGTTACAGTCTACGTACGCCTGTGATACTGTCAGGTTCGTATCACATTTATTCGCGAAATGCGTAGTCTTTCTTGAATTTTAACATTTTGCATAATGTGTGTATGATTCGTGCATTCTTCAATATCTAATTTGGACAAATCACATTGTCGTTTAGATCAACCTATGATATGCTACGAACGAGAATATTGCAGGACTATTAAAAGATTATCTAACAAAGTCGGATCAATATCAAGCTTCCCCGGACACCCACGCAATGTCAGACAGTTTTGACGACGCAACCGACTTTTCAGAGTCTACTCCTCGCACGCCCGCTTGTCCATTTCATCCCTCCCCTCTCATCCCCTTCAGCTTCGTCCTCTTGAATTTCTCATTCTCGCGCCCAATCATGTCAAATTCTCAAATTGGACCCTCGAGACTCCTCCCGTTCGAGTGGGAAGACAAGTTGATCGTCCATTGGAGGCGAATGCTGTGTCCAGCTGGTCGATGGATAATCTTACGAATAATAACCCCGTCAGGACTATCGGGCAACGGTTGGAAACCAAACAAATTGGGATCGAGCCTTACAGACTAGTATTGCGGATATGTTGAGTGTGCACGATGAGGTTGGTCTTGTGAATGAAAAATAGGGAAATGATGATTGAAATACGCTTATGCAAAGAACAGAGCGAAAGACAGGAATAAGAATGTATGCTAACAGTGATACGTAATTTCTTCGTTACCAGGTTACAAATCGGACCTACTGCATGTAGGCGTACAAAAGTAAGACAAAGACGTTATATTCGGATAACATGTTAACGTGACATATTTCAAAGAGCTATCATTGCCATTGATATTAGTTGGGACTGCTTTTCTGTTGACAAACATTGTCCTTGTACATTAACTGGCTGGATGCATACTGATATCGACTATTACATACTAACGTGACATATTGCAAAGAGCAATCATCGCCATTGATATTAGTTGGGACTGCTTTTCTATTGACAAACAATTGTCCTTGTATATTAACTGGATGCATACATGTTTATACTGATATCGACTATTATTAACATGCTAACGTGACATATTTCAAAGAGTTATCATTGCCATTGATATTATTGTTAACTGGATGCATACATGTTTATACTGATATCAGATACAGTATATGCATGCAAAATAAATCGTTTTCATCACAAAACATCATATCCCGTATAACATCGAAATATAGGTATTATTCAAACTGATGCTTTTAATATTGTTCTAACCATCTCACGTCTTAAGTATTGTCAGGCTGAAAGAAGACGGGTTTCAAAATTTAGGTTGGTAGAAATCCGTGATAAGGATAACAATAAGCTATCCACCTACCGGAGCAAATCTGCCTGTTCCTCCGATAGTGATACATGTTATCATGTATATTGAACTTTCTATGAATTTATCCATTATTGGGTAAAAGGCTGAAACGGACCGATTTTTCTGTTCAAACATTTAACGAGGATTTGATTATACAACAATCCTAAAAGAGTTAGTCTGATATCATTTCGAATATGAACTAACTCTATTAAATTATTGAATATAATATATAAATGTTAAATCGTGAAACGACGGATACAGCGTACTAGTAGTGCAAGTGGCTTTGCTTTCCCCAATATCAGGAATACAAACGTAACAATGTCGCCCAAAGCATTTGTTATGGGTTCACAACATCCACGGCGCAAGCAGATTTTAAAGGGGAGATATTTCATGAATATAACCCCACAAGGCACACTGCCAAATTTCTCTCAGTAAAGCATCCATGTCCCATCCACTTATAATATTACTACAAAAAAAAATATACAATAAACCTTTACTACGGAACTACCCAGCGACACCAAGCAAGGTGATTGTGACGCCGATGATATCGACGATATCATCCGAGGTAAACATCGCGCGCCGCTGTTTTATAATGGTAAGTTCTCTTTCAGCTATTGTTAGTATTTAGGAGTTGTAGATATGATAAGTAGTAGTGAATATAACGGGGGGATGGTCGTATGGTCGTGGCGGTGGCAAGTGTTTATGCAGTCAATTAAGTTCCTAAATCATCCGCTTCATCGTATTGATATCAATGACCCAAGTGCGATAAAAATTATTAATACGCCTTTACCGTTTTGTATTTGTTATTTTTCGTAGGCCACTTATATATGTATGCTTGCCCTGACTATGGGGGGAGCTACTAAGAATAAGACGCCTCGTTTTAACGCGGTAATTATATTTTACTTTTTACAAGTTTTGCCTGAACATAGTAATACATATTAGCATTGCATTCTATTTACATTGCTTTTTTTTTTTCCAGCAACGTACGCGACTTGAGAACACGTCGTTCTCAGTGGAAGCTCTGATGGAGCAACCACTCAACACGGCAAACTCGCCGCTAAGTATGTTTATAATCTATAGAAGAAACTACGCGGCGAGTTTGCTGAAAAAAGCAAGCCACATTCCAGAGAAAATGTGGCAATAAAATATTGCTTCCCCGAGGGGAACTACAGGGGGAAGTTGTACAAGAAATTTATTGAGGAGGTTTGTTGCAGATTTTATGTACAGTATATGGTCTTTAGCATCTCTTACCAAGATTCATATAACTAAAATAAAACTTTGAACAATTTATCAATGTATTAGCTTAAAAATGTGGGTTCAGTTTATGGGTCTATATAAAGGTATATTTTATAATTTTATATTCAATAATTATTTTAGAATTATGGCTAACTTTTTCCAATTTTCAAGATACAACTGAATTTACTGAAGGCGGGACACTGCAGAAATATCTGTCTTGCCAGTTAACTTGGAAAGATAAATACAAATTTGGCTTGGATATTGCCAGGGGGCTAATGTAAGTAACAATTTGCAAATTGTTACATAATCATTGAGGAATAGTGAAGACAATACTATTTATATTAGTGTATGTTATGTAGTCATAATTATATATATTTTTTATATCATATATCGTCATAGTTATATTACAGACATCGTCGCGGGAATATGTATTATAATAATAATAAAGAACATTTATCTTGCTCAATAAAACAGTGACTTTTAGCTGAACGTCTAATAAACCGTCCACTGACTTTGAGATTACTAACATTATTTTGAAGTCCTTTACAGCTAAGGCATTTGCATGACCTTGATATTATTCACAAAGATTTGGTAATATTAATATTTCCTTCTTTTTTATCATTTGCATCTGTGTCGTGCCGACTACTGCGGGAGAGCAGAAAGTAATCGACACTTGGGATTTAGCTAGTCTCGACGGAGCGTGGGCGCCTCCTATTCTAGTTAAATTTCTGGTTTACAGTTAGTGACCTCGTCAATTCAAGGCTTTCCACTTACGAACTATTTCATCGTAGAATGACGCTAATCCTGGATATATTAATCGTACTCGAGTATGTCTATCGGTTACTATCGTGGGATAAAGTCGATAGTCTCCCGTCTGGCGTATAAATCATAATAATGCGCATCTACATAACAATTAATTATCGTAAATTGCCACTCGAATAATCGCGGGACAAGAGGCGATTATTCTTCATCGATATAGGGATTAGCGGTTTCTCGGGAATGAATCATTAACAATGTATTCCAGAGTATAAAGAACTACTCATTTATTTACAATAAAGGAATCGAGAGTAATTAGTCATGCTAAACATGCACTTATTGACTGCTTTCTATCTAACTGAAATCTACGCTACTTATATATCTTTCGAGCGGACTAATTGATCTATTCTTAGCAGCTAATTCTACTATTCTATCGAATTCCTTAGTATACGATTAGAATGTACTGAAGCGTTTCATCACTATTCTATCACTACACTGTTTTCTATCACTGTTTCTATCACTGTTTTTTATCACTGTGCCCGTATCACTGACAGTGAAATGTTTGTGCTACTGACAACAGTGGATTGTACCTTCGCAATGAGTCATGCAATAGTGATTGTACCTCGCGCAGCAGCGCTGGTGTTACCGCTGATCGATTTGTGCTGCGGCATCGTCGGAGGAACGCAGAAATAAAGGAGAGAACCGTTTATCATCTGCAAGCTGTTATCTCACATTCTCTACATTGTTTCTATTTACATTATAATTAGTCTTCTGCAAATATTTAATATTCTCATACAATCTGGCATTGCCAAATTACGAATTTTGGTCTGTCTGCTTTGCTAGAGCAAATTACTTTGACATCAAGAGGTGAAGACATGGCACATACAGAGATCCCTTATCATTTAATATTAATGATAGGCCATAAACAGGGAAGAAGTCTTAGCCTTGGAGTAGTACTTTGGGAGATTTCTAGTGGCAAACTCCCATGTGAAGGATGTACTCAAAGTGTTGAAGTTCTTAAGTATAGTAATAGGCAGCAAGGTTATCATGATCCTCCTTGTCCTGGAACACCTAAGCATACATTATGTTATATTCACAATGCTGGAGTAAAGATCCTAACAATAGACCATTATGTGAAGAAATACATTGCTGTTTAAATTTATTATTAAGTGAGCACCTGTTCACAAGTGAATTAAATTTTCAATAAGTACAACTTTATTGCTGAACTAGTGAATTGAATTTTCAATCTCAAAAATCTTGGGTGCAACAGTTATAGCAAAGGCTCTGGAATCAAATTCTTCTCTGGTTAGGTTGGATATTTCAAAGAATCAAATTGGAGATATAGGAGTGACAGCTTTAGCAAAGGCTCTGCAATCAAATATTTCTCTGCTTGACTAGATATTTAAAACAATCAGATTGGTCATATAAGAGAAACAGCTTTAGCAAAGACTCTGGAATCAAATTCTTTTCTGGTTGAATTGCATATTTCAGCTAATCAGATTAGAGATATGGGAGCAACAGCATTGGCAAAAGCTCTAGAAACAAATTTTCTGCTGGATTGGACATATAAGAGCAACAGCTTTGGCAAAGGGTCTAGAGAAATGTTCTTCTCTGGAAGAGTTGGATATTAATATAATCAAATTGGAGATGTAGGAGTAACAGCTTTGGCAAAAGTATTGGAATCAAATTCTTCTCTGATCAGCTTGGATGGTTCAACTAACCAGATTGGAAATATAGTTTGGCAAATATAAAGGCTCTGGAGTCAAATTCTTCTCTGGGTTGGTTGTATTTTTCAAATAATCTGATAGGAGATATAGTAATAAGAGCAATGGTTTTGGCAAATGCTCTGGAATTTCGTTTAAGCTTTGGTCTTGTGGATTTGGATTATATATATAATTAATGATGTCTGTGTACTTTTTTACTTGTGCATTGGTTTTAAGTCTCTATATTGAAAATCATGTAAGCAAATTACCATATTGTTTGGGTTATTAAAAATTTTATTATTATGTAACGAACGTATTTAATAAATGTGCTGAAACCATGACCTTTCATCTATTCTCTAACCCCATTGGTTAGTTTTAGCTTCAGCCGGATTTCAGCATCAGCCGCGAGAATTTAGATAATACGTCATGATTTTTTTCAATGACGCAAACGTAAGTTGATATTATTATTCGTGTCAAGCCTTTTCTCCATTTAACAGAAATGGAATGATTTCCGACTTACTTAGCCTATTGTGACTGCGAGTTCATTAATTTTGTCATGGCTAAAAATTTAAATATTTTAAATTTGGTCTAACCGTAGAGAAATGATGATCGCTTGGTGTGCTAAGTAACTTAAATTGGAAAAAGTTTCACTATATTTTCTGTGCTTTATGATGATATTATTTACTATTATTATGTGCCTTAAGAAAGTGACGCGTTTACGTTCCATCGTCATTATGACAAAGATGACGACTTTTATGTTGGGGTGGGAAAAAAATATGCTAGAGGAGTGACAAGAGACTGCCGACTATAAAATAATTGGCTCCCTCAGAGGTTAGGTAGTCCGCGAAGATCTTACATGAAACATTACTGTAAATGTGTATTTGACGGTTAATGCGAAAAATTAATTAGGAATCGAACGACTCGAATGGCGAATAAAGTATCAAGGAAAAGTCAAAAGAAGTTAGTCGCATGTCCAAATGATGGCGATGAAAATGAAATACATCGTTGACATAAAAATAAAGTATGCTGATCTTCGACTTGACACATGGAGGTAAAAAGAAACCAGTATCCATTCATCGACCTCCAAATGCGTTTATTCTTTACAGGAAAGAGACACAAGCCAGGCTTGTCTCTAAAAAGATGGATACGACAGGGTCAACGAGATCTTGGATCATTTTGACCTCAAACATCGCGAGTGATCTATGGAAGAAAGAAGATCCCAAGTGAAGGAGTTGTTTTTTGAACTGAGTAAAATTACAAAAGTTATTTATAGCCAACTTTTGCCTTTTTATAAAGATTGTCCTTGCAAAAATCGAGCAAAAAGTTCCGCTTCGACTAATGAGAGTATGAATGAGGATTCTCGTTCAAGCACTTTCGGGGAAGTTACGTTGATCATGCATGTGGCAGCAATGAAGTTATTAATTTCAATACCCATTCAACCACGGGCGAATATATAGCATACGAAACTAGTCCTGTAAATAACCACAACAGTGATAACTATGATGATGCCACAGAAAGAAATTGGTTCATTGAACAACTATGCTTATATTAATATGTTCGATACGAACAACTATGCAGATATAAATATGATTCATACGACAGAAACAGCTCCTATAAATGATAATAGTTTGTCAGAAACGCGGTTTAATAGCAGATAGTATGTAGACAAAATGAACATTTACGTATTTTTATTGGATGACGCAACTGTGGCTAGAGTGGCTTACAATTAACACGCGTGCAATCTCTTTCGGCAATAAACCGTGGTCCTTTGCTTAATACAATAAGGTAACAGCACAAACTTTTTGCATCGAAGACGAAGAAGCTTGATCCGCCCGGGGATGTCTAGAGAATGTAGGAATTCAGCTCAAACATAGACTCTAAATGAATTTTTATTAGGCTTCTAACACTGATGCTTAATTCTGCGATAGAAAGACGCGAACTTCTCCCCAACCACAACCAGTTGAAGGCTGATTTGTGGGATCATAGGTCTATCACAACAAATATAATGCCAGCTGTGAGTTTCATACTTCATACATCATATTTTGCATCCATACTATGAAATATAAAATTCTAAGTCGTCGGTAATATGTATTTTATTCACATAAAGCTCGCTGCTACCGCAAGCGCCAATCTCTTACCTCAACAATTACCTAACTAGTACAGACTTGGCTCCTCCCACATCATCTTCGAAACACGTGACCGGGAAAATCTCCCCGCAATATTTACAGTATGTGTGAACGTTTTCGTGGGGAATATGTGAACGTTTAGGTGTAGGCGAAATAAGATAAATCTTGTTTGATGGAAACCTCTCAAGGAGCCAAATGATCGTTTGATTGCAAAAATAGTGGATATGATTTTACTGTGGAAATTCTCGTACAATAACGGGAGGCAGAAGCTGATCTCAGGCGCAAAATACCAAGGAGGGCTCGACGTATTTGCAAAAGAAGGAATTCTCAACAGATTATGATAGTGAAGATGTTTCTTTATTAGGGCCACAGCCGGACCGTCTCGAGAATAGAAACTTGCACATGACGAAATCACGTTCACTTAGCAAAAATAGCTCTGACGGCGAGAGTAACGACCTATCTTGTTTCTCAATGTCTTTACTTTCAAATGCTAGTCGCCAACAACTGAAAGAGAAATTGCAAGCGAACTAGGATTTACCGCGTTCAAAGGATAGCAGCGAGGATGAGAAACCTGATCACGAAGATATATGTAAGTGTACTCGCGAGAATCAAGGATAGCAGTGATGGCAACCAAAGCCCACAAAACCTACAAAACTCAGTCTGCTTTCCTCAGACCAAACTTACGTATCGCCAGCACGACATCGCACTACTCAAAAAACGTCCTCTGCCCTAAAAGTTCCCCCACAATTGTTTACGCGTTCAAAATCACCCTCTCCAACTTTATCGAATAAACCTAAATATCCTCCACAGCTTGTTGTGCATGCTACACCAGATTACGTGAAAGAAACGATTGGGACAATTGGATAACCAAGCAGAATTATTCGATGGCAGTCGATTCACTATATAAGAACGGGAATCATCGCGGATGTATGGAGGATTATACACGCATAATGCATTGATAGGAGACGATTACGATTATGACAATCCGCCTCCACCTGGAATAGATATATATGCAAAAGTTTTACTTCGCCGAACGGTCTCATACGAAGCAATGGAAAAATGTCTTATCTGAATGTAATTAATGCTTCTCGATTACAAAGGACATCGTTCATTGCATTCTCCGTGATCGATGATCGAGTAAAGTATTCCCCCACTTATATACAGTCTATCAGTTTTAAATGATAGTAACAAATTTTGTAGCTTAACGGTAGCTTTTAAGTAAAATACAGCTTCAGCTTGCTTTCCGTCCCAGAGATTATTCTCGGCGCCCAGAGTCGTTCTTTGGGAAGCTTTAGCATTAGAGAGTCAGCATATATGATTCTTCTATTGTATGATCTCTAATCTCCATCTCCAATCGCCCATTTCAACGCTCAGAATAAGTAGATTCGCAAGACTTTTCAAG